GCGCGCCCGCCGCGTTGTTCTCCCGCAGACGCGCGCTGTAGCGCTCCTGCGAGAACACCGGCGCGTTGTCGTTCACGTCCAGCACCCGCAGCGCCAGCACCCTGCTGCTCTGCAGCGCCGGCCACCCGCCGTCGGACGCCCGCACCGTCACGTTGTACTCCGACTGCTGCTCCCGGTCCAGCTCTCTCGATGTCACCACGCGGTAGTAGCCCTCGAGGGACTTCTCCAGGCGGAACGGGATGTCCCCGTCAAGGGAGCAGTGCACCTCGCCATTGGCCCCCGCGTCCCGATCGTGCACGTGCAGCAGGGCCACCACCGTCCCTGGCGGGGCATTCTCAGAAATCTCACTCAATGCCGAGCGCACAGAAATCTCGGGCACATTATCATTTACGTCTGTCACGGTGATTGCGGCTTTTGTCGTGTCGAAAAGCCCTGCTCCATCCCGTGCCTGCACCTCGAGTTCGTATGAATCGCCTCCTTCATAATCAAGGCTCTGCACTAACGTGATCGCTCCCGTCTTAGAGTCCAGATGGAAAATCTTTGTTGCTTTTTCTGTTATTTTCTTCAACGAGTATTCCACGTGCCCGTTCAAGCCCTCGTCGGCGTCGGTGGCCGTGACAGTGACGAGGACGGAGCCCACGGGCACATCCTCCGCCACACGCACCGTGTACTCCGCCTGGCTGAACACGGGCGCGTTGTCGTTCGCGTCCACCACCGTCACGCGGATCCGCGCCGTGCCCGTCCGGGCCGGATCGCCGCCGTCCATCGCCCTCAGCACCAGCTCGTGGAACGCCGCCTCCTCCCGGTCCAGCGCCTTCGCCAGCACCAGCTCGGGACGCTGATCCCCGTCAGGACCCGTCTGCACGGCCAGCGAGAAGTGCTCGTCGCCGCTCAGCTCGTAGCTCTGCAGGGAATTCTGTCCCGAGTCGGGGTCGTGAGCCTCGGCCAGGGGAAACCGCGACCCCGGGGCTGTTGTCTCGCTCATTCTCTCTTCGAGCTCAATTTCTTTGAAGCTCGGGGTGTTGTCATTAATGTCGATGATTTCCACCTCGATTCCATAAACCTGCATCTGTCCCTCCACTATCAGCTCACAGCGCAGCACGCATTGCTCCACACTCTCGCACAGCTGCTCTCTGTCGATCCTCTCGGCAGTCATTAAATGTCCCGTCTTCTCGTGCAGAGTGAAATACTGCGTCCTACCGACAGAGACAACGCGGACGCCGCTGTCTTGGAGCTCCGATATCTGCAGCCCCAGGTCCTTGGCCACGTCACCCACGAACGAGCCCTTGGGCATCTCCTCGGGCACCGAGTAGCGCAGCTGCCCCCACGCCGCCTCCCAGGCCGCCAGCAGGACGCCCCATAGCAGGACTCGCTGCCGCCGGCCCCAGCGCCTCCCCGCCGAGCACATCGCCGCCGCCGCACCGCCGGTACCGCAACAGTGCAGGCAGATCCCCGCCGCTGCTCACCGATCTGGCTCAAGCTACAACTCCCGTTAGCCGCCTGCAGCTGCTGCCGCCAGGCTCTCCACCTCGCTGCAGATCGGTTCCGCACCGCGGGGACGATCAGAAACCGTCCGGCCGCAGAGCTAGAAATCCAGCGATCCAGAGATCGAGCCGGTCCGCAGCGGGCGGGGCTGCAGCGCTCCGACCTTCCTCTCGCTCCTCTCGGTCAACAGCGGCGCCCGCAGCCTCCTCCCGGCACTGCAGGCACCGAGCGCTGCCGAGAGATGCCCGCCCTGCCTCGCCCATGGGCAGCTCGCGGGGACGGGCCACGCACCATGGAGACATCGGTCCCGTGCAGCGGGAACCTCCTGCCTCGGCTTTTCTCCAGGAGATCTCTGCTTTGATCGTCCAAGTGATCACAATCCAGGGAAATGCAGAGGCATTCTGTGCACTTGGTGTTTCTACTGCACGGGTGACTAATTATTTTCTAATGCCAATATATGTAAATGAAAATATTTTTTTCTTATTTTAACTTCTTGATTACCTTTAGTCTTATCCTATTTGTTCAAAAGTAGGCTTTGAGATACATACCCCCAACACCCCGAATAGCCACTGATATAAGGCTCATGAACACAAACGGGACGAGAGCAATTGCCTCCCTCTAGAAGTCACAGAGGAAACTGCTGCCTGATTGAATTATCAACAGAAATAAAGATGTAACTAATAATCTTAAAGGAGATTGGAAGGGCTTCAAAAGTTTCATCTACCTCTCTAGGACAAACTTAATGCTTCCTTAGATGATACAAATCTACATTTAATCAAGTCATTTTATAGCCACAAGAAAGATATTTCTTTTTCTCAGTAATCAATGTGTAAAGGACTGAAGATTGTTAAGAAAATATTGATCTTATTCTTTCTTGTTTTTCAAAAAAAAAAAAAAATAGAACAGTAGAAGAAAAGTACACCTGAGGACTCAAAACTCTGCTGACCGTGAGACGCATGCAAACGGGCTTGATTCAAGTGCAAAATCTGTCGTTTGAACAACCTCCCTTTTATTTGATGTTTGGATATTTTCGTATCTCAGATGTCTATCCTTGTAAACTATCAGAATTCTATAAAATTGCTGTCTTTAGGCAAAGAGGATGGGGCAAAGGCAACTCTATGAAACAGAAAATATTTTACATTTCCACCTATTTCTGAAATGGGAATCAGAAAGAGTAAACCAAAGAGAACTGACAGGCAGTAAGGAAAAAAAAAAGCCAAGCCATCCCACTACTGCATTCTTTTCAAAATACCGGGAGACATTCCCTTCTTTCCCTAGGGATGGAGAACATACCTTTCCAACCCCAGTTCCTTTGAGAGTCCAATATGTAACCTATACCCCCGCCCCGTAGATATTTACGAATGGGTTTATGTACAGCTATAAACAACTACCAAGTACACCCTTTCGGGACAAATCAATCACGAAGGTAAAAGCTCCAACACAAAGTGTCGGTGTTTTTTATTCCCGTCTCCATAATGCAAAATCAGACAATCTCCTTCTGCAGAGTAAAAGCCCTCATTTAGTGTTGTGAACGCATAGTAATTTATAGAGCGTAGCGTTGAAGACATAACCTCTCAGCTGCATTTGAACACAGCTGTGACCAATGAAGAACCAAATGCTCTCCATGGAAGAGGCATAGCCCGCCGGTTCCCTAATTCAGCCATTCACAAAAACAGACTTGCACCTTACAA